CCTCCTCCTCCTCCTCCTCCTCCTCCTCCTCCTCCTCCTCCTCCTCCTCCTCCTCTTCCTCCTGCTCCACTTTTCCATCCTCCTCCGTCCTCGACCTCGTCACTCCCTGCTCCTCTCCCCCCCCAAAACGTGCAGGAAGAGGCTCGAGAGGCGGCATGGCCTGGTCGGCCTCCGCCGCGGGCCCGCCGCCAGCGGACGGCACGGAGTTGGCGAGCTGGTCCTGAAGCTGCCCCACCTCCGCCGGGGGGGGACGAGGGGGTTCCCGCGCGCGCCTGGCCCCGCCGAGGTGCAGCCCGGCCACGTCTTCCGCTCCTCGTCGGCGTTGGCGCCATCGGGGAATACGGGAGCGAAGAGGAGGAGGAGAAGGAGGAGGAGGAGGAGGAGGGGACGAGGAGGAGGAGAAGGAGGAGAAGGAGGGGGAGGAGGAAGAGCAGGAGGAGGAGGAGGAGTGGGAGGAACAGGAAGGAGGAGGAGTGGGAGGAGGAGGAGGAGGAGGAGGAGAGGAGGAGGAGGAGGAGGAGGGGACGAGGAGGAGGAGATGGAGAAGAAGGAGGGGGGGAGGAAGAGGAGGGGTAAAAGGAAAAAAAGGAGGAGGAGGAGGAGGAGGAGGGAAGGGGAGCAGGAGGAGGAGGAGGAGTCGGCGTCGTCATCATCATCGGAAGGGGAGGGGAAAGCGGAGGAGGGGGCGGAGGAGTGGGAGGAGGAGGAAGAGGAGGAGGAGGAAGAGGAGAATTGGTAGGAGGCGGCGGTTGCGGCGTCATGATCGGAAGAGGAGGGGAAAGAGGAAGAGGTGGAGGAGGAGGAGGAGGTGGAGGAGGAGGAGGCGGCGTCGGCGGCGTCATCATTGGAAGAGGAGGGGGAGGAGGAGGAGGAGGAGGAGGAGGAGGAGGACAAGGAGGAGAAGGAGCACCACACCGACTAACGAAGTCATCGCACTAAACATGCATCACATCAACAATAAACAAGCCATCAAATCAAACACAAGCATGGTAACCTCCGTCCAAACAACAACAAGAACAAGAACAACAAGAACAACAACAACAACAACAACAACAACAACAACAACAACAACAACAACAACAACAACAACAACAACAACAACAACAACAACGACAACGATAACGACAACGACAACGACAACGACAACGACAACGACAACAACAACAACAACAACAACAACAACAACAACAACAACAACAACAACAACAACAACAACAACAACGACAACGACAACGACAACGACAACAGCAACAACAGCAACAACAACAACAGCCACAACAACAACAACAACAACAACGACAACAACAACAACAACGACAACAACAACAACGACAACAACAACAACAACAACAACAACAACAACAACAACAACAACAACAACAACAACGCCTCGCGCTCTCTCATGTCAAGGACTCGCCGCCCGAACACCTCAGCTTGGGCGCGAGAGGAGAAACCAAACAGCGCAAAGCCTCGGACGAGGTCGACGCCGAGCCGCTCAACAGCCGGGCCGGGTCCAAGAGCAGGCACATCTTCGAGGCGTGGCTTCGATGCCAGGCAGGTGCGCGAGGCGTCGGAGAACGAAGTCGCCGCCCCGACGCGACCGTCCTTGCGGGACGGATGCTTACCGAGCAAAATCCAAGCCGGTTGCCTCTCCCGGCCAGCGGAACGGGACTCCGAGCAATCCGACACGAGAGAACTCCGTCCCCAGGAACTCCCAGGATGGCCCACAGATCCACAGGTGGTGCAAAACATCACCGTACCCGGAGGAGCTCCGCCTGGGGAGGACACGGGGGCCTCGGTGCACGAATGGCCACGGGCCTTCCAGGGCCTGAGGAGGGCCCAAGCCTCTTCCCCGGGAGGCGGCGGGGGAGGGCAGCGCCTCGCCTTCATCCATCGCTTCGCCGCCAACTTCCGCACGCTCCTCTCCCAAAACGGACGACCCCCGCTCGATGACCCCAGACCCCTCATCCTCGCTGCCGTCATCGGCTCGGCTGGAGCCTGAAAACGCCCGAGATCGACGTGGCGCAGCCAATCGAGTGAGACGTGGTCGAAGACGGCACCATCGGCAATCATCGCCTCCTAACGCGACGAATACCAAGAGTCAAGCCGCGCAATCTCATGACATCCCCAAGACGGCCCCAAGAGGCCCCAAGAGGCCTTCAAGACGGCCAAAGGTGGCCTCCAAGACGGCTGAGATGGCCCCAAGATGCCTCCAAAACGGCCCAAGATGCATCGAAGACGGCCTGAGACGGCCCAAGAGGCCCCCAAGAGGCGCCCAAGACGGCCCAAGAGGCCTCCAAGAGGTCCTCCAGGAGGGCCCGAAGAGACCAAAATCATTGATTGTCCCTAGGCTTGTGAAAGGATTTTGGCATTTGTTTCTTCTCGACAGCGACGGAGAGACCATACAGGACCTCAGAGTCCACGAACGATCTCGCCAAGACGGACAGGATGGCCTCCAAGACGGTCCCAAGACGCCTCCAAGACGGCCAACGTGGCCGAAGATGGCCTCCAAGATGCGTCCAAGATGATCTAGATGGCCCCAAGAAGCCCCAATATAGCACCAAAATGGCTTCCAAGACAGTCCCAAGATGCCTCCAAAACCGCAAAGACGGCCCAATGGAACCCTAGAGTAGCCCAAGAGGCCCCCAAGAGGCCTCATCCTCCCTTCTCCTTCTTCCTCCCTCTCCTCTCCTTTCTCCTCCCCCACCGTGTTCCCCGAGCGCTTTCCAAACCGATTCAGGGAACACATGGTCTGATAGCTTGGCAGGACTCTGGCCACAACGTTCGGCCACATAGGCGTTTCCAAAAAGGCAGGGGGCGGCGGTGATTCGCCACAGGCGTCTTCGATAATGACCTGGCGTTTCGGACTTGGTTTTGCGACAGCAGACACGCCTTGCCGTCCACGACTTCTGCGTCGGCATGACCTTCAAGCGCGGTCGCGCAGTCCCTTGGTCACCCAAAAATGTTCCCTGGGGATGAAACACATTGAATCCGCAACCGTGCCGCTGGGCACGGAGTGGGCGTGTCCTCAGGTCCCGGGCTCAATCCTCTAAGCCTCAATCCTGACTCCTTTGGGAGTCTTCAAGTGGCCCGAACCACTCGCTCTCAAATCTTCTTGGACTTGGCGCGTCTTCTCGCGTGACTTGTTCGGACCCAGGAGGACCCGAACCCACAACCCAGGCACGGTGGCGGGATGTGCCGAAGGCCAGCAGATTCAAATGAAAACCAACTGAAAGGCAAGAGGTTTCCGATGGGCCTTCGAGGCCCCAAGATGGCCCAGAGATTGACTAAAAATACCCCAAAGACAAAAAAACAGGCACCCAAAAAGGATCCAGAAGGGATCCAAGATGCCTCCCAGCGGCCTCCGAGATGGCCAAGAGACCCCCCTAAAAGCTCCTCGAGGCCTCGAGATGGCTCGTGGGCCTCCGAGGGAGCCCCGAGTCTCCAAGAGGAGCCAAAGAAGCCCCTCAGAGGCCCCGAGAGGCTCCAACGAGGATTACAAGATGCTGCGCGGGCATCCGAAGCTTCAAGGTGGCCCCAAGTTGGTCCGAGAGGGTCCCAGAGAGTCCCGAAATTGGCCTCAGACTGCCATCTGGGCGGACGGCGACGACGACGACGATGACGCCGACACGGATGCCGCCGACGTCGACAACACTGCCGACGACGACGACGACGACGACGACGACGACGACGACGACGACGACGACGACGACGACGACACCGACGACACCGACGACACCGACGACGACGACGACGACGACGACGACGATGACGACAGCGACGGCGACAGTGACGGCTACGACGACGGCGACGGCGACGGCGACGGCGACGGCTACGACGACGGCGACGGCGACGGCGACGGCGACGGCGACGGCGACGGCGACGGCGACGGCTGAAGGCGACGACCACGACGACGACGACGACGACGCAGGCGTCGACCGACGGCGACGACAACTAACGGCGACGGCGACGGCGACCGACGGCGGTCCCGAAGAGCCCCCCCCCCTCCGCAGCAGCGGCGGCGGCGGGCGGCGGGCGGCGGCGATCCCCGGGGGCCGCCTGCGCCCTGGCCTGATCACGCTCCTGGCGCCCGCTTTGGGGGTGGGGGGGGGCGGAAGGGGGGGGGGCTCAAGTTGTGCAGGAGCCGAACTCGCAATCACAAGCGTTGGGCCAGGCCAGTCTACAGACAAGAGAAAAAAAGATGAGGTACTGAGCAGCGCACAGCGCTGTGATGCGTGATTGCGAGGGCGACAGCAAAACAACAACATATCGTCATCATCATCACCATCATCACCACCACCATCACCACCACCACCACCACCACCACCACCATCATCATCATCATCATCATCATCATCATCATCATCATCATCATCATCATCATCATCATCATCATCATCATCATCATCATCATCATCATCATCATCATCATCATCATCATCATCATCATCATCATCATCATCATCATCATCATCATCATCATCATCATCATCATCATCATCATCATCATCATCATCATCATCATCATCATCATCATCATCATCATCATCATCATCATCATCATCATCATCATTCATCATCATGTCATCATCATCTCCACCACCACCACCACCACATCATCATCATCATCATTCCATCATCATCGATCATCGCATCATCATCATCATCATCATCATTAGCATCGACAGCCATATAATCAAATCATCATCATCACCATCATCATCATCATCATCGACAGCATCATCAGCATCTGCATTGCATCATCGTCATCATCATAATAATCATGATCAGCATCATCATAATCATCATCATCATCATCATCATCATCATCATCATCATCATCATCATCATCATCATCATCATCATCATCATCATCATCCTCATCATCTCATCATCATCATCATCATCATCATCATCATCATCATCATCATCATCATCATCATCATCATCATCATCATCATCATCATCATCATCATCATCATCATCATCATCATCATCATCATCATCATCATCATCATCATCATCCGCATCCTCCTCCTCCTCCTCATCATCATCATCATCATCACCATCACCATTATCCCAAATTCACGTCTACATCACTCCCGTGACCCAGTGCGAGCCTGCTTCCCATCACAAGGCGGGGAGCAGTCGGGCGGGGCGCGCGGTGGAGGCGACAGCGGCGGCAGCGGCGCGGGGGAGGCCGGCGGCGGCGGCCGAGGCCGAGGCGCGCACCCGCGGCGCTGCTGCGCGCGGCGGGCGGCCGCGGCCGCGACACGCCGCGGCGGCGCAGCGGCGGGCGCCCCGCAGCGGCGGCGCAGGGGTGGGCCGAGGGAGGCACGCAGGGAAGCGCCGGCCCAACGAGCCAGGATTGGGCGTGGCTTAATGGGGGGGTCACAGATGGGGGAGTCAAAAAAGGTCCCCTTTCGTGCCCCTTTCGGGCCCCTCCAGAGCCCGAGGGGGCTCGTTTAGGTACCGTTTGGGTACCTTTTCGGACCACCCGCGACACCCCCCCATTTATGACCCCCCCATTACGCGGCGCCCAACCAGAGGCGTGCTAAGATCTCCGGTAAACTGGTTCCCAGAACATGTGTATCTCCCAGTTCGCGCGCGCGGGGCGGCCCCTGGGGATCCACTGGCGAAAAAGACCCTGGCCGACTCCTGGCAAGGTCCTGGCAAGGTCCCGGCAAGTTCCCAGCAAGGTCCTGGCAAGGTACGTTCAAGGATGCCAAACTCCCGGGGGCGGTTTTCGGGGCCCTCCAGATCGCCCCAGGAGCAGCCCAAGGAACCTCAAGGCAGCTCCAAAGGGCCCACGAATCGGAATCACGGCCCAAGAGCACCCCAAGACGCCCAAGATGGCCCCAACACGGCCCAAGAGGCCCCAAAGAAGCCCCAAGAGCCTCCCAAAGGACCCCAAAGAGGGTCAAAAGAGACAAAAGTCATTGATGTTCCTTGTGATTTTCTTTGTATTTCGCGATCTCGCGTTTTCTGGCTTCCAACGCTCCAAGATGGCCCCAGAGGCCCCCAAGACCACCCCAAGATGGCCCAAGAGGGCCCCAAAACAGCCCCAGAGGCCCCCAAGACCGCCCCAAGACAACCCAAGAGGCCCCCAGGGCCCCAAGACGGTCCAAGAGGGCCCCAAAACGGCCCCAAAACGGCCCCAGAGGCCCCCAAGGCCGCCCCAAGACGACCCGAGGGGCCCCCAGGGCCCCAAGACGGTCCAAGAGGCCCCCAAAAGGGCCCCAGAGGCGCCCAAGATCCCCCAAGAGGACCCCAAGACGGCCTCAACAGGGGCCCAAGAGGGGGAACACGAATCGCCTATTCGAGCCTTCCGCCCCAAGAGGCCACCAGGAGGCCCCAAGAGGCCCCCAAGAGAGCCCAGGAGGTCCCCTGGAGGCCCCACGAGGCCTCCAAGAGGCCCAAAAAGATACCCCAAGAGATCCCCAAACGGCCCCCAAGAGACCCCAAGAGGCCCCAAGAGGCCGCCCCAACAGGCCACGAACGCGCAGGCAAACGCCTGCGATGGCACAATACGGGCTGGCGGAATGAGCGAAGCGACTAAATCAGATGTTGTTTCTGTGTGGCTCCTCGCTGATTCATGGGTTCCCAGATGGGTCATCAGTCGCATTCGCATCTTGCCTCTGTGCGTCGCGCGGCAGCCATTGGGGTCCATGCCTGACGAAGGGGGCTAAAAGCCCCGGGAACGCGTCGCGTGCACCAGACGGCGCCTTGCACTGCGCACCACAAGAGCAGCCAGCAGCCCAGGCCTCTCAAAGGCTGGGATGCCGTCGAGAGGCCTCTCGGAGAGCACTTCGGGCGGCCCTTCGGGCGGCCCTCGGGCGACCTGCCTGGACTTCGGGGACTTCACGCGGGTTGGGGCGGGGAGGACCGAGCCGCGCTCGTGAAAGCTTCAAGGGTCCAGAGGCTCGATGCCCGAGGTTGCCGGGCTCCTGCGGCCCCGCTGGGGCTTCCCAGCGCTTCCTTGGCGCCACGGCTGCGCCCGCCTCGAGAGCCTGGCATGAGACCACACAGAAACCGATCGAGGGGCCCTCTCCGATGCTCAAGACCCAGACCTCGATGGGGCAGCCGAGTTCCGTGGCAGAGAGGGGAGGCCAACCCAAACGAGCGCCGAAACACCTGCTCAGAGCAATCCTGCGCAGCGCGGCGAGGAGAGAGAGGGGAGGGGAAACGCCCCTGAGATCCGACGTTGCAGAATCTGCGACACCGCGCAAAATCTCGACCGGAGCCCCAGACCCCATATCCTTCTGCGTCAGTTTTCCAGCTGGATCGATCTGTGAGACTCCTAGGAGCCCGGAGCTCGGAGAGAACGCCCGGTGTGCAGAAGCTGCAGCGCCCGAGTCTCGGGTGCAGGCGGGCGGCGGCGAAGGCGCAGGCGGGAGGCCAAGACCCGTGGGACGGAGCGGGCGGGCGGGCGGGCGGGCCAGCGGAGTCAGAGGGGAGGCGGCAGGCAGGCAGCGGGGCCGGGCGGGAAGACCGAGGGGAGCCTGCAACCGATGACACCGCCTGGGGACAGTGGGGTCTAAGACGAAACCAGGACGAGGATACAAGTGCGTGTGAAGATAAATCGAGAGTCTCTGAGATCTGGCGGCTCTGGAAGATGCCTCGGGCGTCACAGCCTTTTCAAAGCGTTCTGGAACGCTCCGAGAGCGTTAAGGAGCACTCTGGAACGGATCATCTTCGTCCTAGCCCCGTCCGATTAGGTGGGTGCCAGAAAGGAAGGATGGGCTGGTAATCGTTTGCACAATTTTGGGTCAGTCGGGGCCAGTTGGGGTCAGTGAGGCAGGTGGGGTCAGCTGGGGTCAGTTGGGGTCAGCTGGGGGTGTCTAAACACTTCCAGAACAGCAAGCTCAGAATCCCCCCGTCGGGAAATTCCCCCAGACCGCACCCCTGACCCCAGCCGTCCTCAAGGACGGCTTCAAATCAGACCCCCTTTTGATTATTAAATCTGGCATCATCCACCACCGTGGCGCTAGGCTGAATCCGAGTGTCCTCAAGTCCCTTTGAATTATCTTGGCTGAGTGTTGTAGAAAGTTCTTTCAAGAGTCACACCCAAGGAAGACCGCATCAAAGGTGTGTTATGTGGGTGTTGTTGTCCAAGATGGCTTCCAGGAAGACTCAAAGTGGGCAGTGGTCGCCATCATGTCAGTCAAAGATGGCCAAAGCGCCCCCAAGGATGGCTCAAGGGGGTATATAAAAGGTCGAAGATACCCCGAAGATGGCCAAAGATGGCCTCGGAACGGCCAAGGAAGCCCCAACACACCCCAATCCTCCTTCTCCTCCTCCTCCTCCTCCTCCTCCTCCTCCTCCTCCTGCTCCTCCACCTCCTCTTCCTCCTCATCATCATCACCATCATCACCACCACCACCACCACCACCATCATCATCATCATCATCATCATCAGCAGCAGCAGCAGCAGCATCAGCATCAGCATCATCAGCATCATCATCATCATCATCCGCATGTTCATCCTCATCCACATCCTCATCCTCATCCTCATCATCATCAGCAGCAGCAGCATCATCATCAGCATCCTCCTCCTCCTCATCAACATCATCAGCTTCATCATCAGCAACAACAACATCATCATTATCATCATCATCGTCAGCATCATCATCAGCAGCAGCAACAGCATCATCATAATCATCATCAGCATCATCATCTTGATCGTTATCGTCATCGTCATCGTCGTCATCACCGCCATCATCATCACCCTCATCATCACCGTCACCGTCACCATCACCAGCACCAGCACCAGCATCATCATCATCAGCATCAGTATCATCAGCATCAGCATCTTCATCACCGTCTACATCGTCAACATCAGCATCGTCAGCATCGTCGTCATCATCGTCATCGTCATCATCGTCGTCATCGTCATCATAATCGGCATCCGCACCATCAGCATTATCCTCATCATCATCAGCATCATCATCATCAGCATCATCATCATCATCATCATCATCATCATCATCATCATCATCATCATCATCATCTTCCTGCTCCTCGTACTTGTCCTACTCTTTCTCCTCCTCCGCCTGCTCCTCGTCGTGCTGCTCCTCCTCCTCCTCCTCCTTCTCATCCTCATCCGCATCCTCGTCCTCCTCCTCCTTGTCATCATCAAGCCGTGACCATCATCCTAACACTCCATCAGCATTCAGCAGCAGCATCATCATCAGCCGCAGCATCACCATCATTACAATTGGCAGCACGCCTCTCAAAGGCAGGAGCATTATCATCCTACTCATATCCTCATCAGCATCACCACCATCATCAACATCGTCAGCATCACCATCAGTAATATCAATAGCATCATCTGCATCATCATCATCATCATCCTCAAATTCCGCTCCTTATTCTTCTTATTGCCATCATCACCATCACCAGCATGTTCCTCATAATTCTCATGTTCGTAGTCTTCCCCCTCCTCCTCCTCCTCCTCCTCCTCCTCCTCCTCGTACACCTCCTCCCCCTCCTTACCCCAATGCCCGTCCGCCTCCTCCTCGTCCACCTCTTCCCTCCTCCCTCCTCGTCTACCTCCTCCTCCTCCTCCTCCTCATCATCATCATCAGCATCATCATCATCATCAGCATCAGCATCAGCATCAGCATCATCAGCATCATCATCATCATCATCATCATCATCATCATCATCATCATATTCATCATCATCATCATCATCATCATCATCATCATCATCATATGAGTATCCTCCCCGTCCTCAGCCTCCTCCTCCTTCCCCTCCTCCTTCTCCTCCCCCTCCTCCTCCTCCTCCTCCTCATCCTCATCCTCATCCTCCTCTTCCTCATTATCATCATTCTCATCATTCTCATCATCACCATCGCCATCATCATCTCACCACCACCATCATCATGATCAGCGGCACCAAAAACATGATCACCAGCATCACCATCAGAAGCAGCGCCAGCATCGTCATCATTGCGGGAAGCAGAATCAACACCCTCAAGATTGCCCACCAAATCATC